ATGGAATTTACACCATTTTTTGCTATACAGCGCTGCGCTAGTTTAACTGCAATTGCGTGGGCATGCAATATGGTACATAAATTACATTTGTGTCTTTTTTTTTTCACACAAATAGAGCTTTCTTTCAGTGGTATTTGATCACCTGTGCACTTTCTTTATTTTTTGATTCTGCGAACACTGCGGTTTTGTGTGCAATGTATCAAGTGACAGTGACCTACTGACACTGCACTTGCTGGGGGAGAAGGTGGAGGGGGGTAAGCATAGGGGCTAAACGCAGGTACTGGGGATGATCCCACTAATGCTGCGTTTTTGGGGACGTTATACTAATGTGAATTTTGGTATAGTGCTGATCTGTTCAGACACTATACTAGCAATGGAGGTTTATTGTGTATGTGAGCGTGTTCCTGGCAATCAAGGGGTTAAATGTGATTACTGCTTTACTAAAGGGCAATCTGACACTATCTGGGAGGGGCGCTAACTGATGCTAGCGCTATCTGAAGTCTCCAGTGACACTAATACAGTGATCAGCAAAAAAAATCTGTACACTGTACTAATGACACTGGTGACAGGGCAGTGAATGGGATTAACTGGGAGGGGGGGGGTGCGCGATCAAGGGGTTAAATGTGTCCTAGAGTGTTCTAACTGTAATTGTTTAGTGCTTTTACTCACAGTTTGTTGATTCTTCTCTCTCTAGGATGGAATGTGCCCAGAGAGCAAAGATTTCATCACTTCCTGTCCTGTCAACACAGGACAGGATAGGACAGGAATCATTCATCTGACTTCAGCCGGACATCACTGGCCTAAATCAGATATTTGATCCCTCTGGGATCAAATTGGGGCACCGTGGGTTGGCGAGGGCACGCGTGCGTCCCCTCAGGCCCGCGAAAACTGCGTGAGCGTGAATCACGTGTATATATACGTGACTTTGCGCACAGGGGCTGCCCTGCAACAGTAAATGTACTGTGGGCGGTCCTTATATGGTAAATTGAACAGACTGAAGTTAGAAGCGATTGGCTACCATGCACAGCTGCACCAGACTGAGTGTACCAGTTTTGGTAAATCTCCCCCTGTATGTTATCAATATCATCACTAGTTTAACAATTCAGTGTATTGGACAGGAAATTCCTCTTCAATGTGCTCATTCAGGGCAAAGAAACAGGTTCACTTGGCAGAGCTGTGTAAATCTTAGGACTGGATGGACTGTTGGAAGGTACATCAACCTACCTTTATGTATTTTATCTCTGTATTTAGGTTTTTTTAACGATTTTAAAGAAGGATGTTAGTTAACAGGATAGCAAGCTATTGATTCTCTGGGAAGCACATCAGCCAGAGCTGGGGGCCGATGCAAATCTTTTTAGGTACATGCCTGTCCAACTACATAGGAGAGACTTCATACAACTGAGGAGACTGTTCATTTAATACAGGAAAGTGTTCATACATCAGAAAAGCTGGCTATTGAGCAGAATTTCAAACAGAAATTCTCATGGAAAGAATGTTCTAAGAAAGTTTGCTCATCTTTCTAAACCGAATTGGGTCAACTTGACGTTCATTTTCGACTGCAGTGATGAGAAAATTAGAAGGAGCTGGATAGAAAATTTTTCTTGAACGAAAACATTTCTGACTGTGTATGTGGCTTTCATTGGGGGTACACCAATACTGGTATCAGTGCCAATACAGAGTATTTGTGAAAATGACCCGATACCTGAGTCTTCAGGAGGGGAGGGAGAATTCTTTACTCAGCATATGCCTGAGCTAAGGGCAGATGGATAACAGGAAGTCAATGATACACATCATCTGCCCTTACTCAAGATGGCCACTGCCATAAATGCTAGAGGGGTGGTTTTCAAAGTGATATCTCAACAAAATAAAACATGGAGACATAGATGGATGGGGGAGTTTGCTTTAAATATTAAAAGTGAATAAAACAGCTTTTTTGGTTTGTGACGCTCAGATGTAGTGCAGTTCTGCTTTAAGCTGGCCAACTACATCAAAGTAATCACTCTCTGGCCAGTTCCTACTCCACTCTATGCTAAAGAAACTTAACCTTTCAAGCATGTCTTTAGAGTTGGAGGAAACCGGAGTACCTGGAGGAAACCCACTTTGGCACAGGAAGAACATGCAAACTCTATGAAGGTAGTATCCTGTTTGGAATAAAAAAAAAAACACAGAACCAGTGCTACAAGGCATGAGTGCTAACCCCCCTTTGCCACTCTTCTGCCCGTATGTTATGCGTCTGTAACTAACTTAATTGGCTAACTTCACCATCTATTTATCTTAAAAGAAGATGGAAACGGGTGGCTTGTTCCGGGGTGATGTTGATGATCTGTCCACAATTCTGCAGCTGTATCTGAGGAAAGAAAAAAAAAAAAACTTGTATTAAGGGTTTTTTTTTTTAAAGAAATATACTTATCCAACAAAAAATATTCTAAATAATTTTACCAACTAACAAAATAATCTCTGTTACCCAGCAATGGTCAAGGTGGGTTGTTTTGGGAGAAAAGATCGACTGATGACACATACCAGAATCAGCCAAGTTACCTTCTGCCTGCGCAGTGGACAGATTGTTCACATCCATCCATCATTTTCATTTTTTGCTCTCATTAAAATCTGTGTTGTTTGAAATTCATTTAAAACCCCCAGATCATTATATATTTTCTGAGGCAGAGGCCATATAGCCCTTTGCCTACCTTTTAACCTGGCTGTGGGGAACTATTCCTGTCATTGATATGAGCTATATTCCTTCTACTGACACAAACGATGAGGTACCATTCTTTCCATTGCAATCATCGGTGAGGCATATTTCCTTTCCCTGACACCAGCGGTGGGGCCGTTTTCCTTCTACTGACAACAACATTAGGGCATACTTCCTTCCACTGATATAAACGTTGGAGCACTATTCCTCTGTGATACCAAAAATGAGGCACTATTCTTTCCACCTACACCAGTGGTCTCCAAACTGCAGCCCGGGGACCGAATATGGCCCTTTGCTTGCCTATATCTGGCCCTTGAGGCATTTTTCCTCCCACTGACATCAACGATCGAGCATAATTCCTACCGCTGATATTACCCATAGGGCACTATCATTCCTATTGACACTAACAATCAGGCACTTTTCCTTCTACTGACACCAATGAGGCACTAGTCCTTCAACTGACACCAACGATGGGGAACAAAAGATGGGACATTGTATACTCCCACTGGGCACAGTCCTGCCCCCCTAAAGTCTGAAGCATAATAAACTGGCCCTTTTGTTTAGAAAGTTTGGAGACCCCTGACCTACACCAAAGATGGGGCATTATTCCATTCACTGACATCAGTGAATGGGCGCACTTCCTCCCACTGACACCAATGATGGGGCACCATTCCTTCCAATGATATCATTGTCGGGCACCATTCCTTTCACTGATGGCAGCGATGGGGCACCATTCCTTTCACTGACGGCAGCGACTGGGCACTATTCCTTTCATTGACACCAGTGATGGGGCACTATTCCTTCCACAGACATCAACAGTTGGGCACTATTCTTCCCACTAATACCAATGACGAGACACTATTCCTCCCAGTGATACCAATGATGGGATACTATTCCTCCTCCTATTGACCACAGTCACTTTGTAATTGTTTTTTACTCTCACTGGCCACCAAGTCCAATTCATTTGTTACTCCCACTGGCCACAGTCCGTTCCCCCTCAAATCTGAAGGATAATACACTGGCCCTTTTTGTTTAGAAAGTTTGGAGACCCCTGTTCTAGCTCTTTGGTCATTTTCGAACTCCACAACAGGATAGCTAAAGTGGATTACAGCTTCAAATCACCTGAGAACTTCCACTTCTCCATTATATTGGGCAGGAACTTGATACAGTCTTTGAGTTTAAAACAAAATTAAAACCAGCATAGTGTTACTCTGATTTATTTATACAAGGTAAAACGAATTAAAAACTACTATAACATGCTTGACATGTTTTGTCCATTCATGGGCATCATCAAGTGGTTCAAATGTATGTTTCCCTATAGCAACTGGTCAGGTCTTTCCTTTTGACTTTTTTGAGCTACATAGATCAGCTGGAAGTTAATGGCTTGCTATGGACAACAGACTGTTTCTATTAGAAATGGTTAATCTAGATTTGTATATTACATGTTATGTAGGACCTATCAGATTACTTAGAGCCAAAAGCAAAATTGTAATATATTACAGCTTAATAATTCTTAGATGTGGCTGCTGCATATTTTATTTTAATCTCTTTTACCCTATATTCTACCTGGTGATCCAACCAGTAACACATTTCTGTATGATGTATTAAAGCAGTGTGCAGCTTCTAATGCACACTGAACTACACTGGGGGGGGTATTTGGAGAGTGCAAAATCTGGTGCAGCTCTGCATAGAAACCAATCAGCTTCCAGGTTTAGTTGTCAAAGCTTAATTGAGCAAGCTGAAGTTAGAAGCTGATTAGCTACCATGCACAGCTGCGTCAGATTCTGAGTACACCGGTGTTAGTAAATCTTCTCCATATTATGCATTAGAAGCTGCAGGAGTGTCCGAGCATGCCTCATGTCCTGGCTAGGGGGATGTCCATCATTATCCCCTAGCCTTTTCCTCCCTAGCCTTACTCTCTGGGGCCCACTGTTTTCATATATTGGATTTCAGTGCCTTTCAGTCAACATCACATTTGGGCATTACCACAGCTTCTTTTTTTCAAGAAGCTATGTACAAAACCTGTCAGGCTTCCCACCAGCCATGCTATGCCTGCATTGCATATAGAAGCACAGGAACTTAGTGATGAGGTCACTAAACAAGAAAATAAGGTATATATTGAAGGCTAGTTTTATTTAGTAATTTAATTAGCATGTTGAAGGAGGGGGGAGAAGGAAGAACCAGGGAGAGCAAAGCTTATGCATTTAAAAACTTTAATAAATATTCAAAAACAATTGTCTGCCATCTACATTTTACATCTACCGTTTTATTAATACAAGCCTTACATATTTTTTTTTTTCACTTGTAGGTCGGATTTTAATGAAAACTTCAAATGTAGAGCTGCAGAATACCAGCACTTCTGTAATGCAGCCTGATGACAATAAGCCTGCTTCCATTTTTTCTAAAAGAAAACGTCCTATTTCCCTCTCAGATTCTGAGGTCACTAATCTGCCACCAAGTTCTTCCAGCAACCAGAAGCTTAGGGATACTCAAGTGAGATCAGGCTCAAGTCATCAACCAGAATTTCTAAGCAGGTGTGAATCTTCTATATTATATCTGTTTTATTGCTACATCTTTTCTTGTTTTTCTTACAATACACATGCAGAATAGATGCACTTTAACTGCTTCCCGTCCACCCACTCCACATAAATGGCATGATACGGGTTGACGTACCCATATGCTACCCCGCATCGGAGGCTCTTGCACATCCAGTGAGTTTTCAAAGTGTTGATTAATATATATATCAGCGTAGGGTCTGACAGTGGGTCCAAGGATTTCATTCCGATACCTAATGGCAGTCAGGGTGCTATTGTGTAGCCTGTAGCGATCTGTGCGTCCCTCCATGGATATTCCTCTCCAGACCATCACTGACCCACCACCAAAACGGTCCTGCTAAACGATGTTACAAGCAGCATAACATTTTCCATGGCTTCTCCAGACCTTGTAACGTCTGTCACGTTCTGAGGGTGAACCTGCTCTCATCTGTGAAAAGCACCGGTGCCAGTGGCGGACCTGCCAATTCTGGTGTTCAATGGCAAATGCCAATCGAGCTCTATGGTGCCGGGCAGTGAGCACAGGACCCACTTGAGGATGTCGGGCCCTCAGGCCACCCTCATGAAGTCTGTTTCTGACGGTTTGGTCAGAGACATTCACATCAGTGGCCTGCTGGAGGTCATTTTGTAGGGCTCTGGCAGTGCTAATCCTGTTCCTCCTTGCCCAAAGGAGCAGATAGAAGTCGTCCTACGGCCCTGTCCAGCTCTCCTAGAGTAACTGCCTGTCTCCTGCAATCTCCTCCATACTCTTGAGACTGTGCTGGGAGACGCAGCAAAGCTGGCAATGGCACGTATTGATGTTCCACCCTGGAGCAGTTGTACTGCCTGTGCAACCTCTGTAGGGTCCAGATATCGCCTTATGCTACCAGTAGTGACACTGACCGTAGCCAAATGCAAAACTAGTGAAAAACAGAAAAGATGAGTAGGGGAAAAAAATGTCAGTGCCTGCCATCTGTAAAACCATTCCTGTTTTGGGGGTCGTCTCATTGTTGCCAATCTAGTACACCTGTTATTAATTTCATTAACACCAAAGCAGCTGAAACTGATTAACAACCCCCTCTGCTACTTTACTGACCAGATCAATATCCCAGGAGTTTAATCGACTTGATGCTATACTCCGATTAAAAAATGTTCATTTCATTTGTTTTGAGTAGAGTATGTGTGTGTGTGTGTGTGTGTGTATGTATGTATGTGTGTGATTCATACATAAACATTCACATACATACACATATTACATTCATACGTACACATACTAGGGCCAATTTAGACAGGATACCGTTAACCTACCAGCATGCCTTTGGAGTGTGAGAGGAAACCGGAGTACCCACATAGGCACAGGGAGAACATGCAAACTCCAGGCAGGGGTCACCGTGGTTGGGATTAGAACCAACAGCCCTCGTACTGCCAGGCGGAAGTGCTAACTGTGTGTGTGTGTGTGTGTGCGCGCACGTGTGTCCAAAAACTTGTGGCAAAATTACATTTTCAAAAGACTCATTATGCCTTTCAGAAAATACCTTGGAGTGTTTGCTTTTCAAAATGGGGTCATATCCTGGTGCTCCGGGGCGTCCAAAAATATGATAGGTTGTCAGGAAATTAGATGCGTAATTTATGCCCCTGTAATGCCTGAAGGTGTTCCTTGGATTTTGGACCCTTCTATGCATCCAGGCTGTGAAAAAGTCTCACACGTGCTATCCTCATACTCAGTAGGCATATGAGAATATGTTTTGGGGTGTAATTGCAAGTATGCCTAAGCTGTGTGTGAGAAATGGCTAGTTAAAATGCCAAACAAAATGTATTTAATTTCATTTTTTTTAAAAAAAGTGACAAAACTACATTACAACTTTAAAAAACTCCCCATGCCTTTTACTATATACCTTGAACTGTCTACTTTCCAAAAAGTGGTCATTTGGGGAGTATTAGTACTGTCCTGACATTTCAGGGTTTCAAGAAATTAGATGGGCAGTCAGTACATCAGGACTGAACAATTTTTGGATATACTATAGTTTTGTAGACTCTATACCTTTCACAAAGACTAAATAATATACACTGTTTTGGGTTATTTTTACCCACAAAAATGGAGCAGCATATTTTGTAGCCTAAATTTATTAGGAAAGATTAATTATTTGCAAAATTTTATAACAAAAACTAAAAAGTTGTTTGTTGTTTTTTTTAGAATTAAAAAAAAAACCGAATGGTGGTTAAGTGCCACAAAAAAAGAAAGTTCTATCTGTTTAAAAAAATGATAAAAATTTAATTTGGGTATAGTGTTGCATGACTGAGTAATTGTCATTCAAAGTGTTATGGTGCTGAAATCCGAAAATAGGTCTGGGAGGAAGGCCAGTGTCCAGTACTGAAATGGTTAAAATGCATATGCATTTTTTTTTAGTTGCATTTGAAAACTGCTGCGCAAATACTGTCTGACTTAAAAAAAATTGCAATCCACACCATTTTATTCTCTAGGGCCTCTGGGGGTTGTAAGTAATTTTTTTTTTTAGCAAAAAATGCTTCTTTTCACATGTAAACAAAGTGTCAGAAAAGGCCTCATCTTAAAGTGGTTAACATGCACAGTACCAACTACTCCATATCCACAGACTTTGGTATTGAGAAAGTAAAAAAAAAAAAAAAAATCTTTGGTAATGGCTAGGTTGGTCTCTGTATGCCATCCCAGTTACACCTCTGATATTTTTGTATTCTTACCCAAATCATTTCCAGGAATTCGGTAAAGCATTTACAGCTATTTTCTGGTGGTGGTAATTTATTGCAGTAGAACTGTGTTTCTGGAGGTAGAACTATCTGAGCTTGATTCAGGCAAGCATTTACACCAAGCCTGGTAACATTACTGACATGAGTGCCAAATGGAGGTAATTCTTGCTACTGCCACTTTATGAACCTGTCACGATGGGTGCTGCAGATTCTTGAAGAATTACCACCAGTTTGCAGATTAGGAAGCTGGCAGGGCTCAGCTCTGAACTGGCGTACAGTGGTAGAGGAGATTATCCAGCCCAAAGCTGAATGTGGACAAAAGGGACCTGGGCTACTGGTGCTGTTATTACCCAAACCTGGCAATGCCCATATTTGAGAAATGACTTGAGTCATGGGGGTGACCTGATGGAGAACTAAGGCTGCAGCACCCATTCGGTGGGCAAAGCCTGGTTGGGAACTGAGAGACTAGTTCCCCATTAGGTCCGCTATGCTTTTGACAGCAGATGGCTGTGAGTGGATTTGAAAGCAGCTATGGATGTGCACACTTCTGTGTGTTGCTGTTCGTTCACCTTTGCAAAAAAAAATAATGCACATTTCTTTTGCAGGTAAAAAAAATATACATTTATTATTTTTTTTGTTAGGAGCCTGTAAAGCATTGCACACATGATCAACAGATTGTGGGTTCGATGCAGGGCTCATACAGACTCCATGGGGTTTATTTACTAAAGCTGGAGAGTCCAAAATCAGACTCCCTTCTGCATAGAAACCAATCAGCTTCTAACCTCAGCTTGTTCAATGAAGCTTTGGCAATGAAACCTGGAAGCTGATTGGTTTCTATGCAGAAGGGAGTCTGATTTTGGACTCTCCAGCTTTAGTAAATAAACCCCCATGTGTCTGCTCGTACAGGCAGGCATTACACTCTGAGAGAAAGACTCGGTGAACTACCTAGAGTGCTCAACAGCACTTAATTGAGAACTACAAGCCAACAGCCGCAAAGGCTGTCAGTACTTGTAGTCTTCCCATTCAGAGCTCTGTGATTGAATGACATGGCCGTGTTTTTGTTTTGTTTTTTTTGTTTCTGTTTTTTTAATTGTGACAGTGAGCTTGGGGGAGAAGATCCCCCACTCACTGTCAAAATGGGGGGATTGGGACTGTGCGGGGACAGGTGCACCTGTAACATGTTACAACCTGAATATGGGTGAACTTATCCTTTAAGGGCCAGGTGGTGCAGAAGGCAGGATGGGGAGAATATATTGCTACTTTATGATCTGAAGAGGCTCTTGCAAAACACTTTGCAGCTGAATTTTGTGGTGTCTAGGGCAATCATGATATATAAATGGAATGCCTAATTAAACAGTATGCCAGCATATGGTTATCGGCAGATATCATTTAACATAATTAAAGCTAAAAAACATGTCTTGGGTAGGTGTTCACAGTTTTTTTTCAATTTTCTTTCAATTTTCTTTCTCTTTTCCCCAGAAACAAAAAAAGCAGATTTCAAGAAAAAAAATGTAAATTATACATCTATTAGGAGACCTAAAACCAAGACTGCTATTCTCCAGAAACGCAGAATGCAGCTCAGGGAAAAGGTAATATTTAAAAAATGCCATACTGTTTAACTGAACAAAAGAATCTTATGCGATCATTGCAGTAATAATTAGGCCCCAAACCATCTTCCTATTGTGACTGTTAACACATTTGGAATAAGAGTAAATAAAGAACTGATTGTTGTGACTCAGCCCTTTATCACTGGAAGTTTTAACATGATTAAATAAATAACCCGGGTGGATACTGGTATATGGTACAGGCTAACAGATCTTGATGCTAGAAACCCAGAAATAAATACTAAACAAAAACATATTCTTCCTAGTTTCGGTATTTCAGAGAAACATTCATTTAATTCAAACCTTTTTTTTTTTAACTAGAAGTTGTGCCTAAGAGCACAGCCCACATAGTGCCTGCTATTATTTTTAATAAGCCCATTTCAATCACCCATGAAGCCTCCTACTCAATTCAGTGTATACCCTGTTATTCCTGTTACTTTGGAGATACACCTTACCGCAAGAACTATTCTCCTTCCATCCACTGTCCCAGTGTCCAGTGAAAGTACCGTTACTGGATGATTTACTGTAATTAGATAGTGGTGCAGCAGGTAAGTAAATATAATAAAGCATATGCATAGTTGGAACTGAAAAATAACATTTTGACAAAATATTGTCTTTAGTCAGGATTATATATTTCATTTTGCTTTTATAATACAATGCATTCTTATTTGCCAATGGGATCAAGTTTTAGGCTTTTTTTCACATGGATTTTAGCTTCTTACTTCCTCTTACTGAAAATAAGCCTATTGAATACAAAGCTCAATAACTCAAGCTGAAATGTAGAAAAATTAACACATAGCTTAGGCTTGGGTCAGGGTCTGGGTCTGAACCTGCAACCTCTGTTATATCTAACTAGCTCTTCTTAATGTGCTACCTGAGATGCTGTACAGCTCTCTATCTGTTCCCTTGTACAATCTTGCTTTGTACCTTGTTTCTGATGAACCTTGAACTGTTTTGCCTTTAATTTCTATTTTAAACTGAATGGGTTGTTTTACAAAGTGAGGGCTTATATATACTTTAAAGTGGCTGTGAACCCAAACAATGAACTTCTATATTTAAGAATCCAAAAAAGGGCAAAACAAGAGAATTGGAAATGCTTTCATAGGTACTAGAACACTTCCCTGGACTACAGAATAATTAGCCTTTATGCTGTAGAAATCTAACTGTGGGAGTAATTTTAGCAAAAGACAACCAGGCAGAGTATGAGCCCCATAAGTTCATACATTTACCTGTTGAGGGGCAAACTATTATTTACCAAGCACATCCACCTCACAAGAGTAGAGCTGTATGTTGTTTTTTTTTTTTTTTTTTTCCAGGTAAGCAGTAGAAGTATTTTTTTTTTTTTGGCAGTAAAAAAAAAAAAGTCAGAGGAGCTTCTTTTTGAAGAAATAAAAGGGAGGCAATCCAGGTTTCTGAGTAAACAGACCTTTAGATCACAGACCTTAGGCAGAGACAAGGTACTGGCCAGAAGTTCTGTGACTGCAGACCAAAATGTGTGAACAAGAGAGCACTGCCAGATTTAATGGAAAAATGTGTGTTGTCTGCTCCACATCTCATAAAAAAGAGGGCAATGGAGTGGAGGCCTAAATTGAGCAATTTAGGGGGTGTGCAGTGATCCTGATAAGGTAATTCAACTGAAATTATTCTATCCCTAGTGGAGATTACTTGGGTCATATAACTGAATTCATATTCTCGCCAGTCCTCTGCCATCTCACCTTAGTCTTGTGATATCTGCTAACTTTGGTCGGTGGTAATGTCATATAGAATTTAAATATCAGCCTGGTGCCATCCACCTGAAGTTGAAGTGCAATTGTTTTACTAATATGTTGTCTATTGTGCACACAGGGTGCGGTGATGGTGCAGCACAGTTCTGATGATGAAGACTTTGTCGTACCTGTCAGTTCTCAAAAACCACTGCACAAAAGCCACTCAGGACATGAAGGTACTTATGTGTCGTAGGTGGCAGTTTGTAATATAGCATAATGTTCTTCAAATTCCTTCAGGTGTTAAAGGGTTGGAACCATAACCAAACTACATTTTTCTAGTGGTTCTTTTCTTTCCTGAGTTAATTCAAAATTAAAAAGTGTTGTGTTGGTTGAAGACCTATCCACTTAGCATGTTCCTACCCTACCAGTGCTTGCATGAAACAAAACACTGAAGATAGTACTTTTACCTGAAATAGGCATAGAAAAAAGAATATTGTCAAAATGGTGTGGTTGCTGTTTATGACCATCTAATATATTGGAATATATACTGTATATCTGAATATCATTTTAACGTTCATTGCTAGCAAAGGTAGCAAAAAAGAAATAGAGAGCATAATGCAGAAACTATAGTATCTTACAGGAGTGAGTACACCCCTCACATTTTTGTAAATATTTTATTCTATCTTTTCATGTGACAACACTGAAGAAATGACACTTTGCTACAATGTAATTTAATGAGTGTACCGCTTGTTTAACAGTGTAAATTTGCTGTCCCCTCAAAATAACTCAACACCCAGCCATTAATGTCTAAACTGCTGGCAACAAAAGTGAGTACACCCCGAAGTGAAAATGTCCAAATTGGGCCCAAAGTGTCAATATTTTCTGTGGCCACCATTATTTTCTACCACTGCCTTAACCCTCTTGGGTAGAGTTGATGAGCGAATTATTCAAAAATTCGATTCGATTCGGCCGATTCGATTCGCCGAATTTGCGGGAGAAATTCGATTCGATGCGAATTTATTCGCTGCGAATTTAACTTATTAAAAGGGTTTCTAGGCTTCAGAGAGCCTTTATTTTAGTGCAGAACACTGTACCTTTAATTTAAATGCCCTTGGAGTCTGCTGGGGAAGAGAAATAATACTGTCAGTCAGTATGACATGCAGATGAGTGCCGTCGATCTTAGAATCACCGCACACTTCACTCATTTGGGCAGTCACGGGGCACGATGAAGAAGAAGAAGAAGAATGAAAAGAAGAAGAAGAAGAATGAAAAGAAGAAGAAGAAGAATGAAAAGAAGAAGAAGAAGAATGAAAAGAAGAAGAAGAAGAATGAAAAGAAGAATGAGAAGAAGAAGAATAAAAAGAAGAAGAAGAATGAAAAGAAGAAGAATGAAAAGAAGAAGAATGAAAAGAAGAAGAAGAAGAAGAATGAAAAGAAGAAGAAGAAGAAGAAGAATGAAAAGAAGAAGAAGAAGAATGAAAAGAAGAAGAAGAAGAATGAAAAGAAGAAGAAGAAGAAGAAGAAGAATGAAAAGAAGAAGGAGAAGGAGAAGAAGGAGAAGAAGAAGAATTCCAGTACAGCAAAAAGTGTATCTGCAGAGAGCTCCGCTATTTCTGACAGTTCCTTCACATTTACAGCGGTTGAAACATTGTATCTATTTATTTCCGAATAAAAACATCTGTATCCTAAATGGAAACAAATAGATACAATGTTTCAACCGCTGTAAATGAACTGTCAGAACTGTCAGAAATAGCGGAGCTCTCTGCAGTGACACTTTTTGCCGGCTGATCAGGGAAAATTCGATTCGTGCACCCGAAGTTTGCTAAAATTCGGATTCGGTGCGAATCGAATTTTTCCTAATATTCGAAACGAATTCCACTTCGCCAAGTTCGATTCGCTCATCTCTACTCTTGGGCATGAAGTTCACCAGAGCTTCACATGTTGCCACTGGAGTCCTTTTCTACTCCTCCATGACGACATCACGGAGCTTGTGGATGTTGGAGACCTTGCGTTCCTCCACCTTCTGTTTGAGGATGCCTCACAGATGCTCAACAGGGTTTAGGTCTGGAGACATGCTTGGCCAGTCCATCACCTTTACCCTCAGCTTCTTTGGCAAGGCAGTGGTCATCTTGGAGGTGTGTTTGGGATTGTTATGTCGGAATACTGCCCTGCGGCCCAGTCTCCGAAGGTAGGGGATCATGTTCTGCTTCAGTATGTCACAGTACATGTTGGCATTCATGGTTCCCTCAGTGAACTGTAGCTCCCCAGTGCCGACAGCACTCATGCAGCCCAAGACCATGACACTTCCACCACCATGCTTAACTGTAGGCAAAACACACTTGTCTCTGTACTCCTCACCTGGTTGCTGCCACACACGCTTGACTCCATCTGAACCAAACATGTTTATCTTGGTGTCATCAGACCACAGGACATGGTTCCAGTAATCCATGCCCTTAATCTGCTTGTCTTCACCAAACTGTGTGTGGCGTATGGTCTGAGCACTACTGACAGGCTGACCCCCCCCCCCCCCCCCTTCAAACCCCTGCAGCAATGCTGGCAGCGCTCATACGTCTGTTTCCCAAAGACAACCTCTGGATATGACACTGAGCACGTGCACTCAACTTCTTTGGTCGACCACGGTGAGGCCTGTTCTGAGTGGAACCTGTCCTGTTTAAACCGCTGTATGGTCTTGGCCACCGTCCTGCAGCTCAGTTTCAGGGTCTTTGGCAATATTTTTATAGCCTAAGTCATCTTTATGTAGAGCAACAATTCTTTTTTTCAGATCCTCAGAGAGTTCTTTGCCATGACATGCCATGTTGAACTTCAGTGTGACCAGTATGAGAGAGTGAGAGTGATAACACCAAATTTAACACACCTGATCCCCATTCATGCCTGAGACCTTGTAACACTAAAGAGTCACATGACACCAGGGAGGGAAAATTGGTTAATTGGGCCCAATTTGGACATTGTCACTTAGGGGTGGACTCACTTTTGTTGCCAGCGGTTTAGACATTAATGGCTGTGTGTTGAGTTATTTTGAGGGGGGACAGCAAATTTACACTGTTATACAAGCTGTACACTCACTACTTTACAATGTAGCAAAGTGTAATTTCTTCAGTGTTTTCACATGAAAAGATAGAATAAAATATTTACAAAAATGTGAGAGGTATATCTGTGAGATACTGTATATAACGTGGCTAGCTGATATCCAGAACTTACCAAGTCCCCTCTTAAAGTGGTAGTAAACTAATTTTTTATACTTTTACCTACAGGTAAGTTTTTAATATAAAGCTTACCTGTAGGTAAAATGAATATATCCTAAACAGTGCAACCAGTGACATCACCGGCGCTTGCGCTCTGATGGAATGGCATACCCATTCCGTTTCTTCAGAGCTGTGTACTGCGGCTGTAGCACAGAAGTGACGTCGTCATGGCTACGGCCATTCAGCTGGCTGCAGCCCGGGAACCCGGAAGGAAGACCAGGTGAAGATGGAAGCCTGTGCAGCGGTGACAGTGCGCCTCTGGAGGGCTTCGTTCTCAGATAAGTCTTTCATAATGTGACATTACCTTGCAGGGGAAAATCTTTATTTTTTTTTTTTTTTTTTTGTTTGCTACCGCTTTAAGAAAATCAGTATTTATGAACATCATAATGACAATTTAAAGCTGAATTCTAGGCAAACTGCTAAAAACTAATGTGGGGCTTGTTTTACCTGTCAAAGGATTAGAATTTTTACACAGCCCCATCTCACATAATTTTTCTCTGCTGCAGTTAAGTATCACATACAGGTCTTCTCCAAACCTGTGCTTGGACAGTAAAAAGAGAAGCAGCTGACTGATTAGGTAATCTCTCTGTAACTCTGCTCTTTCTTCCTATCAGCACATCCCTTTCTAGCACTGCAGCACAGTTGTTAGATTCTTGTGTTGCTTCTCCCTTTCCCAGACTGAGCTTTGCATCAGTTTTCCACAGGTGACCACACTCTGGATAAAGCCAACTCTTTTATTCCATCATTCTAAAAGCATAGACCGCAACTACATGTCGGGAGAAACAGAAACAAACACGTTTCACTCTGCTGTGCACTTAAACATAGCATGTGCTATGCTGTACTGGCTCCATGTGCTGCTTCTCCATTTACCAGTCTGAGATCTGCTGTAGAAGGCTGATACCAAGTCAAATTCAGGTACTTACACTGCTTGCATTTAAAACAATACATTTACTTATGTATTAATGAATACAGAACTGCACTTATTTATGTCTCTTATTTTTGCTTAGAATTCAGCTTTATAAAGTGTGTTTGCAGGTTTGCAATGTATAGTTAGTGTTTTTCTTTCTGCAATAAATAAAATGAGACTCACTAAGTGTTCCACAAAACAGGGGGGGAGCTACTGAAAGGACAGATGATGCAGGCTATTTATCGGATAACAGCACTTTGTCTATAAAGTCCAGTGAGAGTAATATCCTGCTGTCTGCCTGTAAACGAAAAGATGCCCTGCATCACTCAGAGAGCGAAGAACATATTTGTGTCTTGGATGCATCGAAGGAAGGCAATGTGGCCCGATTTTTAAATGTACGTATTGGACTTAAACATTAATGTAGTATTATTGTGCAAAGACAGAACAGTTTTGTACTGTTACACACTGGGAAAAACAAAGAAAAATCGCTTGGGCTGGCCATGCACAGTAAAATCACTTGATGGAGGAAACTCCTCTGCTAGCAATTGCATTCAGACAGCTGTGGCACCTGCAGCTGCCTGAATACCCAAACAGTGACAGCATCTGATGGGATGCAGTCACTGTGTTTGGCGGATAATGTTCCACCCAGTTCAGTGGATTTTTAAAATTTAATTTTTGTTGAATCAGTTGTCCTTGCAAGGCCAGAGCTCGAATTTTGTCCAATTCAGGAGGAATCAGCGGAAATTTGAGTTATCACTGGCCAGCTTGTCTTATCCTGTGAATTAATGCAGCTGCTACTCTTGGAGTCCAAAATAAAACTGCACAGAATGAACTTGCCAGCATTCACTTTTTGCTCCTTGAACATATTACCTGGCACAGATGGTTAACTACAACCAGGGCCAAGCTTAGGCTGAGGTAGAGGGAGGAGGGGGCACTTTGGCATCTTCGTCTTGGATTCCAGAGGACCCTAGCCTTGCACTTGAGTATAGCCCAACAGGACACACATTTTTACACAAGTGACTCTAATTTAACCTGGTTTAGCAAGTTATAAAGAGACTAAATGGCTTAATCACCCACTAATTTCTTTATTATCCTTTGATCACTGTATAACGAATATTTCTTCATGATTCGTTAAGGGCCACAGGATCAGTAGTTATTCTGTTTCCTTTAGGAGGATTTGGACACTGGCAAACAAAAAAAAAAAGCCATTGACCAGTCAGGTACAACCTTTCCTTCTCCCAGCATACTCCAGTTTTTTGCTATTGTTTTAGGAAGACAGACATCTTTTCTCTACTGAGACATTTACCCCTTTTATGCATTTTTACTAGCCTTTTTCTTTTCTCCGAATATTTTTTCTTCAATCAAAACTCCATCTGCACAGTGCAGAACTAGGCTCTCTATGCAGCTATGTGGATCTGAAAATCTTTGGCACTACCTTGGAGGCCAGACCCTGCTGGACTAAAGATTATGGGACTACTTTGGAATGTGGCACTCAGGCACAGAATTTTTCCAGTTGCCCTATCCAATCATTAATTTACTGTGTTATTCATAGAGCACTTGCCAGATACAGAGCCATGTCACTGCTTATGGTGCCCCATAGTCTCTCTTGGTTCTTATCCATACATCATAGGTAGCAGAACTTTAAGTGATACTACACTTTGGTAACTTTTACTGTTGCCATCTTGTCCCTATTCTGGGTAACATGCTGAGAATTATTGCTGCATCATAAGCTGGAGTGTAGCACTCATGCTTACTCCCCACTTTGCTCTCGCTACTTTTCTTCAGCACGAGGTAGCATCTTCCTACTACTGCTGCTTTCTAAAGAGCCAGGCACTTAACACCCTGGTTGCTCCTTGCAGCTGCCTACAGCGACCTGGATATTTCCAGCCATTAGGCAGCTGGTTGTTAGTAAACCAAGGTGCTATCTGATGTTTGCTGTTGCATTGTTCCTAGTAAAAAGCAGGAACAGATCTGATCCCAAGCACAGAAGAAGCAGTCCTGCTGAATAGTCGCTTCGGCTCACAATCCAAACAAGTCTTTCATAGCGCCTTCAGGTGCAGCCCCTTCCTCCATCTTATCCAAGGAGTTCTCCGATGCCATGCAGAATTTTTTTTTGCTGAGTTTCCAATAAGATTGCTAACTCAGAATGCAGAGGTTATAACTGTCTGCTTACACGCCTTCCCCATCAGAATCAATTTCTGACATACCTGCAGTTGTAGCTGCTTCAGTGGCCTCTGCTGCAGAAGTTCCCTTTTTGATTTACTTTGTTCCTGAGGAGCCTCATTCAGCTTAATTAGTTACCAGGCTTAATAAAACCATTTTGGCACTTTATTGATGCAGTACGAGACGCATTTTAAGTGGAACAACCAATGATTTAAACTACCTGCTCTTGGGCTTTCCCAAAGGCCCCAAGCCTGTCAAAATGTTTCCAGTTAACTCCTTGTTTGAACCTGTTCTGTACTTACCTTTGGAATTATGGAGTGTATGTGTGTGTATATATTATATGTATTATATATATATATATATATATATATATATATATATATATATATATATATATATATATGTGTATATGTGTGTGTGTAACCTTTACTTTACTTTCAGAATCCACATTTTCTATGGGACACTGTAATCAATAACCCACATTTGTGGGATTATTTTGTAGTATAAACGAGATTTGTTAATTTGCACACACAAAAGTATTTTTCTTAACAAATTTATATTCAAGACAATGTTGCAAAAATGAATACACCCCAATGAAAGTCTTAGGCGCGAAGCTAAATTTTAGACAACAAAATTCTAATTAACAAGAATTCAACAAACTACACGTGAGTCTAATTGTTCATTAAACAGGTGTCCAGCAGACAGGTAATTATGAAAGGGCGTTACTTAACAAAGAAATCCCCTTCCCATTTCATGCTGTCAGCAATGGCACAACATGGAAGAGAAATGTCACAAGGCCTGAGAAAGAGAAAATACTTTCTTTACACAAGAAAAGTGAAGGCTACAAGAAGATCAGCAAAGCTTTACTTATCACTTTAGAATACTGTAAAAAAAGTGATACAACAATTTAACAAAGATGAAAATGCAACCATCTCACAAAGAGGTCCTGGCAGTCCATGGAAGTTAACACCTCAGCAGGAGTATCTTCTGATGAGAAGGGTTGAAGAAAATCGTCATGCAAGTTCACCGCAATTAGCTAAAGAAGTAGAAAGCGAAATTGGGGTGATTGTTTCCCGTGACACAATATTGCATACACTGCAGAGGAATGGCATGCATGGGTGTCATCCACGAAGGAAGGTTTTCCTAAAGTCTGCATAGAATTTGCCAGGGCCCATGCTGAAAAAGATGACTACTGAGACTCTGTACTCTGGAGTGATGAGGTCAAGCTAAATGTTTTTGGAACTGATAGCTTCAAAACTGTATGGCATCACAAAGGTGAGGAGTACAAAGAAAAATGCATTTTGCCTACAATGAAACATGGTGGTGGCAGTGTCCTTCTGTGGGGCTGCATGAGTGCTTCTGGTGTTGGGGAGCTGCACTTCATTGATGGTATCATAAATTCACAGATGCACTGCTCTGTTGAAAAAGAAGATACTACCATCACTCCGTGTCCTTGGTCGTCCTGCACTTTTCTAACATGACAATGATCCAAAACACACATCTAAGGCCACTATTGCATTTCTGAAGAAGAACAGGGTGAAAGTGATTCAGTGGCCAAGTATGTCTCCTGATCCGAACCCAATCGAACACCTATGGGGAATTCTGAAGAGAGAGTTGAGCATCACTCTCCATCCAGCATCCAGGCTCTAAAAGAGGTCGTTCTTGAAGAATGGAATTAGATAGATGTTGCAATATGCCTTCAACTTGTTCATTCCATGCCTAGAAGACTTGTTGCTGTTCTTACAAATCATGGAGGTCATACAAAATACTAGATGGAGTAATGTAGGAGGAGAGAGCGAGCGCGAGAGAGAACACTGAACCTTCTTTATTAGGTACACCTTGCTAGTACTGGGTTGGACCCCCTTTTGCCTTCAGAACTGCCTTCATTCTTCATGGCATAGATTCAACAAGGTGTTGAAAACATTCCTCAGAGATTTTGGTCCATATTGCCATGATAACATCACGCAGTTGCTGTAGATTTGTCAGCTGCACATCCATGAACCGTTGACACAAGGCAGGATGGATCCATGCTTTCATGTTGTTTACACCAAATTCTGACCCTACCATCTGAATGCCACAGCTGAAATCCAGACTTCTCAGACCAGGCAACGTTTTCTAATCTTCTATTGTCCAATTTTGGTAAACCTGTGCAAATTGTAGCCTTTGTTTCTTGTTCTTGTTTGCCAGGAGTGACACCCAGTGTGGTCTTCTGCTGCTGTAGCCCATCTGCTTCAAGGTTGAATGTGTTGTGTGTTCAGAGATGTTATTCTGCATACTTTGGTTGCAATGGGTGGTTATTTGAGTTACTGTTGCCTTTCTATCATCTCGAACCAGTCTGCCCATTCTCCTCTGACATCAACAACGCATTTTCCTCCACACAACTGCCGCTCACTGGATATTTTCTCTTTTTTTCGGACCATTCTCTGTGAAAACCCTAGAGATGGTTGTATGTGAAAATTCCAGTAGGTCAGTCGTCTTCCGTTTTTTAATTACTCAGACCAGCAGCGCCGTCTGGCACCAACAAGCATGTCACATTCAAAGTTCCTTAAATCCCCCTTTCTTCCCCATTCTGCTGCTTGGTTTTAAACTTCAGTAAGTCGTCTTCAGCACGTCTAGATGCCTAAATGAATTGAGTTGCTGCCATGTGACTGGCTCCTGATTAGCAATTTGTATTACCACGCAATTTAAACAGGTGTACCTAATAAAGTGGCCTGGGAGTGTATATGCAGTAATAAAATTTAAAAATAAAATTTCTTCATGCAAAATTTAGGCCAAAATATATTCTGCTACATATTTTTTTGGTAAAGAAAATTCCAATAAGTGTATATTAATCAGTTTGCATTAAATGTACCATAGTGTCTACAAACTATGGATATAGAATTTTTATATTTTTACTTTTTTAAACTCTTAATGGTGGCTATTAGCGACTTATAGCAGGACTGTGAGAGTACGGTGAGCAATCTGACACTAACTCCCACTTTGACACTAATACACTAGTGACTCTAATACAGTGATCAGTGTTGATAATATACACTGACACTGTACTAATGACACTGGCTGGGAGGGGGTTAATGTCTAGGGTCAATAAAAGGGTAACTGTGTGCCTAACAAGTATTTAATGTGTGCTGATTTTATGAAGTGATGTGCCGGTTTTTATTTCCTGCTTGCAGGGATACAAAAACCTGCACATTGCCGCCATCAGGACAGAGCTCTTTGTTGTTTACAATCACCTGTCATCCGCTGATCGCAGATCACAGCACAGATGGGGCGGGAGGCATGTGCCCTCCCTACCCCAAAGAGAGAAATCTCATATCAGGTACACGATCCAGCACAGAGCTGCAGGATGGTCTGCAGCTGGTCAAAGAATATAGGAAGAGTTATCGCTCCTGTTTATAAGTACAGTAACTAAATAAAATTAGCAACAGAGTATACAGTTCATATATTTGGACACAGGCACAATTTTCATACTTTTGGCTCTGTATGCCACCAGAATAAATTAAAATTAAACCATCCAAATGATTTAGAAGTGCAGACTTTCAGCTTTAATTCAAGGGGTTGAACATAAACATCAAGTACAAATTTTAGGAACTGCAACCATTTTTATATACAGTCCCTGCATTTTCAGTTGCTCAAATGTAATTGGACAAATGTATATAATCATAAATAAAATGTTCATTTTTAATATTTTGTTGAGAATCTAAACCCCTTCACTGGCAATGACTGCCTGAAGTCTGGAACCCATGGACATTACCACAGACTGGGTTTCCTCCTTTGTGATGCTTTGCCAGGCTCTAACTGCAGCTGTCTTCAGTTGTTCTTTGTGGGTCTTTCTGCATTTAGTTTTGCCTTCAGCAAGTGAAATACATGCAGAGTTGGGTTAAGATCAGGTGATTGACTCGGACATTGCAGAATATTCCACTTCTTTTCCTTCAAAAGCTCTTGGGTTGCTTTTGCAGTGTGTATTGAATCATTGTCCATCTGTACTGTGAAGCGCCGTCCAATCAACTTTGCTCCATTTGGCTGAATCTGGACTGACAGTATATCTCTAAACACTGCAGATTTCATCTGGCTGCTTCTGTCTTCTGTCACATCATCAATAAACACCAATGACCCAGTGCCACTAGAAGCCATGCATGCCCATGCCATCACACTGCCTCCACCATGTTTTACAGATGACGTTGCGTGCTTTGAATCATGAGCTGTTCCAAGCCTTCTCCTCACTTTTTTCTTCCTGTCATTCTGGTACAGATTAATCTTCGTTTCATCCATTCAAAGAATGCTTTTCCAGAACTGATCTGGCTTTTTTTAGATGTTGTTTTGGCAAAGTCTAATCTGGCTTTTCTATGGTTTAAGAATGGTTTGCACCTTGTGGTGAACCCTCTGTATTTGTTCTTGTGAAGTCTTCTCTTGTTTGTAGACTTTGACAATGATACGTCCACCTCTTGGAAAATGTCCTTCACTTGTCTGGATGTCGTGAATGGGTTTTTCTTTACCATGGAGAGGATCGTGCGATCATCCACCACTGTGGTCTTCCGTGGACGTCCATGACTTTTTATGTTGCTGAGCTCACCAATGCGTTCTTCTTTTCTCAGAATGTACCAAACTGTTGATTTGGCCACTGCTAATGTTGCTGCCATCTCTCTGATGGATTTGTTTTGTTTTTGAAGCCTTACAATGGCCTGTTTCACTTGCATGAACAGCTCCTTTGAACCCATGATGTAGGTTCATAGCAATAGATTCCAAATGCAAATACCACATTTAGAATCAACTTCAGACCTTTAACCTGCTTCATTGATGAAGGAATAACAAAGTAGTAGCCCACACCTGGCCATGAAATAGCTGTTGATTCAATTGTCCAATTACTTTTAATCCCTTGAAAAAGGGGGGATGGCTACTCTAAAGAGCTGTAATTCCTAAACCCTTCCTTCAATTTGGATGTACATACCCTCAAATTAAACCTGAGAGTGTGCACTTTCAGCCCATATCCATTATATAACTATAGCTTGAATATGTTTTGGTAAATACCTGAAAAAAACTAAAATATATATGGACCTAACTGTATGTGTAATAACTATATTTGTGTTTTTAAAATAAAACTATGTGGGATATATAGAACATTTTGTTTAAATATTTAACACATTTTATTTTTTCCCCTAAACACAGCACAGCTGTTCACCAAACCTGTTTGTACAACCTGTTTTTGTAGAAACTCATTCAAAGAAATTTCCCTGGGTGGCATTTTTTACTAAGAGGTTTGTACCATTTTTTTTCTATCTGTCAATTTTAATTTCCACTGAAGACTGTTAGTTTGGTAATCTAAAAAAAAAAAAAAAAAAAAAAACTTGTAAAATGGAATGTCCTTCCTTTGCCCAATGTTGACAAAAAAAAACATAATAAAAAAAACCTTAGCAAATACTAATAAACTGGATTGATGTATTTCTAGAGAGTTTCTTTTTGGCTACAGTCACTCCCATTGAACAATGAGGCTGGTGGGTGGAGCTCAGCTTTTGGGGTGGGGTCTTCAAAAATATATAGAACACAAGGATTCACTCCACGAGTCAGGTGTTTAAAGATCCATGTGTAAAAGTGCACTGTAAAGCACACTTGCCGTGTGCGCTTTAAAGTCCACATTAACCCCAGTCATATGGCAGGTGTTCTTCCTAGCCAAATGTTTTAATCAGAGCACTATTACCTTTGGGGAAAAAATTGCGCAGATACTAGCAGCAAAGTTAGTAATTGCATAAGATCCTTGGAAGGCAGTTAACACCGCAGATGAGGAAAGTGGGCTGAAAGCCTAAAGGTGAAATATGGTGCTGGAGGCAGCCAGCCATGGAGCTCCAGGGAAGGAAAGTGGACTTTTATATGAAGAATACCTGTCACATACCTATTGCTGTAACAAGGAATGATTACATTCCTTGTGACCGCAATAAAAGTGATCAAATATAAATTAAAGTGACAGTGTAAAAATAAATTTAAAAAAAAAAAGTGATTCTCTAATTACCACATTGGTGTACTCCAAATAAACATCTTGGGTTACTTTAACTTTCTGGTTTTCTGAATAACTGTTTCAATATAGCACTTCCATTCTTGTATAACTGTATGTTGCGTATTTAGTAAATATTTGTACCATTATCCTATTAATTTACATGCTTTCCTGTTATGCAGTCATTTCCTTTCTTTCTTGCAGCCACATAAAAGCTGGTACTGAACTAACCTGGGATTACAACTACAATATCGGGACTGTCCCTGAAGAGGAGATTGCATGCCTGTGTGGACATAAGACTTGCCGAAATATAACGATTTGACTATTAAATACGTAAACATTTGTACAACTAAAGGCTCCTTCATTTAAATCTCACAGGCTTTCATAACGGTCAGCCCCTTCTTCCTAGACACTGTAGTGCCGTCAATCCCAAAAAAAAGTGGGCAGAACTAGGTGTTGATAGCCATGTACCCTGCAACATTTTTTCATCCCACTATAGTGCAAGCAGACACCACATACTTGAGAGTGGCAACTCTGCTCTGAATTTAGCATTGCATTGCAGCATCATTACCACACCATCACGGGAAGCTGAATTAGGTGGACTTCACTGGCAGGATAAATAGGTATTTGTGGTACTTTGCTGGAGGATTAAAGACTTGTATACACTTGCGATACTCTCTGACAGGCAGAAGGAGGCATTAACGCCTATTTTAACACATAAAAACCCGCACTACCACAGCCGTGTGCATTACAAGCTGTGTGGGATGACCCCATTTAGTTGAATGGGTCGTATTTGGGAGGCAGCATCTCCTGCAGATCACAACAGGGATAGGGCGATCATTTTTGCTGTGTACCCCCACATGCTGCTTCATGGGGAACAGTCTCAAACCCATGTTTTTACTGTCTTCCTCCCCACAAACGCAAGTGTATGTGAGGCCTAAGAGGAGAAATGTAAATGGAGATGCACTTAAAGGAAGTGCTGCAGCAAATATATTTTTTTAAAAGGAGGTCATAGTTCTACTTCTTTGTTTTTCAAATGGCATTTTTACTTTGTATATGTTATTTTAAACTGAAGTGAGTTTTCCTCATACTGGCTATTTAAATATATCTGATATATGTATATTAGATTATTTTATGTATACTTTTAGCTATTGTCTATATTGCTGTAATAATTCAATAGATTTTTGGACGGAAATAATTGTACTGTTTTTTGTAGGTGTAGATAAAAAAAAAAAAGCACTTCCGTGTGTGTGTGTATACACCCATAACATTATAACCGACAGGTAAAGTGAATAACATTGATTATCTTGTTACAATGGAAAGTGGGCTGAATGTATTAGGCAGCAAGTGAACATGTTGTACCGAAAATGTTGAAAGCAGAAAAAATGGACAAGCATAAGGATTTGTGTGACTTTGACAAGGGCTATACTGTAATAGCTAGTTGACTAGGTTGTACCATCACCAGAACTGCAGCTCTTGTGGGTTGTTCCTGGTCTGCATTGGTCTTGGCTTACCAAAAGTGGTCCAAGGAAGGAAACCAATAGCCAAGGCTCATTGATGCACACGAGGAGCAACGGCTGGCTGGTGTAGTCAAGTCAAATAGAAGTGCTACTGTAGCTCATATTGCTAAAAAACATTAATGCTGGTTCTAATAGAAAAGTGTCAGAACACATAGTGCATTATAGTTTGTTGCATATGGGGCTGTGTAGCCACAGACCAGTCATTGTGCCCATGCGGACCCATGTCCACAGCCAAAAGCACTTACAATTGCCATGTGTGAGTATCAGAACTGGACCAAGGAGCAATGTAGAAAGTTGGCCTGGTCTGATGAATGCAAAAACAAATGGAAAAATGGTTTGAGGAACTCAACAATGAGCTTGAAGTGTTGACTTGGCCTCCAGATCTTCATCCAATTGAATATTTTGTGCAGGAAAAACAACTTTGATCTATGGAGGCCTCACCTCATAACCTACAGGACTTAAAAGATCAGCTACTGACAGCTTGGTGCCAGATACCATAGCATATACCTTTTGGAGGTCTAGTGGAGTTTGTGCCTTGACAGGTTATGGTGGCTGGCCATAATGTTATGGCTGATCACTGTGTGTGTGTGTGTGTGTGTGTGTGTGTGTGTGTGTGTGTGTGTGTGTGTGTGTGTGTGTACAGTGCAGATTTTTTAAGTTTGCCCACTTACAAAGAAATGAAGGGCCTATCATTTTTACCATAGGTGTATTTTAAATGATAGAGACAGAATATCAACCAAAAATCCAGAAAAACACACACGACACAAATGGTATAAAGTAGGTTGTAGTTCAGTGAGTAAAATAAGTATTTGATCCCCTACCAACCAACAATAATTCTGGCTCCCACAGATTGGCTATGTGCTCATGTGGTACACAGAGTAGTCCTGTCAATTTTAGAAGGTGCTCCTAACAACAACTTGTTATGTGTATAAAAGACATCTGTCCACAGAATCTGTTTCTTGGGCAGCACCATGGGCAAGACCTAAGAGCTGTCAAAGGACGTCAGGGACAAGATTGTAGACCTGCACAAGGCTGGAAAGGGCTACAAGACCCATCTTCAAGATGTTTGGTAAGAATGAGACAACTGTTTGGAGCTATTTTTCACGAATGGAAGAAATACAAAATAACCATCAATTTCCCTCAGTATGGAGCTTCATGCAAGATTTAGTGTCATGGGGTAAGGATGACCATGAGAAAAGTGAGGGATCAGCCCGGAACTACACAGAACAAGCTTACGAATGATGTAAAGGCAGTTGGGACCACAGTCACTAAACAAAAACCATTGGTAACACAATACGCCGCCATGAATTGAAATCCTGCCGCGCCTGCAAGGCACACGTACAGGCCTGTCTAAAGTTTGCCAATGAACATCTAAATGATTCATTGAAGTATTGGGAGAGAGTGCTGTGGTCAGATGAGACCAAAATTGAGCTCTCTGGCATTAACTCGACTTGCTGTGTTTGGAGGAAGAAAAATGCTGACTATGACCCTAAGAACACCTCCCCTACAGTCAAGTAGGGAGGTGGAAACATTATGCTTTGGGGCTGTTTCTCTGCTAAAGGTTCAGGCCAACTTTGCTGCATTGAGGGGTCAATGGACGGGGCGATGTATTGTAACATTTGGATGAGAAGCTTCTTCCCTCAGGCAGAACTCTGATGATCGGTCTTCCAGCATGACAATGACCCGAACCATACCACCAATACGACAAAGGAGTGACTCAAGAAGAATCACATTAAGGTTATGGAGTGGTCTAGCCAGTGTCCAGACCATAATCCTATATAAAATTTATGGTGGGAGCTCAAACTTTGAGTTGTTAAAGAATACCCAAGAAACCTTAAGGATTTAGAGAAGATCTGTAGAAAAAAGTGTACCGAAATCCCTCCTGAGATGTGTGCAAACCTGGTAACCAACTACAAGAAACGTCTTACCTCTGTGCTTGCAAGGGTTTTTCCACAAAGATTGAAGTTATGTTTTGCTTGAGGATCAAATACTTATTTTGCTCACTGAACATTTTTATCATGTGTTTTTTCTGGATTTTTGGTTGATATTCTGTCTCTATCATTTAAAATACACCGATGATAAAAATTATAGACCCTTAATTTCTTTGTAAGTGACCAAACGTACAAAATCTGCAGGGGATCAAAAAAAATAATTTTCCCCACTGTATATTAGGGATGCACTGATATCAGTATCGATGCCGAATATTTCATGAGTGCTCATACTTATGAGAATACTACCGATACCTTAACTGATACTTTGCGGTGCGATTTGTGTTAATGGACACAGATTGCACCGCAAAGATTAGCATGTGATTTGAACAGGATTGTGATTCCTGTCCAAATCTCATGCGGTTTCCCCACTGCTCCTAGGTGTACCTAGGCTTGTCATAGCCCCACACACAGGAGTGGTGCGGGAAACCTCCCTGCCGGTATCCCATGCTGAGTGTCAGTGGTAGGAGAGGAGAGAAATCCCCGCCGCTTCCTTTCCTTTCCTTGCAGTGATGACAGATCAGGCTAGACAGCATCCGATTGGTGAGCAGCTGAGCTATATACACACTACTATATTGCCAAAAGCAATTCCTAGGTAATCCCTCTAAAAAAAATACAGTATACACTATACACCAGTGGTCACTAAATGGTGGTCCGGAACCGGACCGAGGAACAGTCCTGTCCAGACCACAGCCATGCCACTGCCACAGCTTGGTATCCTCTTCTGGGCCTCTCACTCAGCCACTGATGTCATCCTCACAGTGGGCAGGGTGTGAGGAGCTGCAGATCAGGACTGAGGGGCGGGAGCTCATGATTACCCAGCTTGTTAATATGTAAAGACTTCCGCTCTCTGCAGCAAGAGACAGAAAGCGGGAGTCTTTTCATATTAGCAAGCCAGGCAATCGCCCTCTTGTTAACATAACTTGGGCAGCTCCCGCCCCTCATTCTCAATCTGCAGCTCCTCCAACCCCTGCACGCTATGAAAATGACATCGATAGCAGGCTAGAGGCCCAGGAGAGGACACCCCAGAAGGATTAGTGCCTCTGCTCTGCCTAAGGTACCATAGGACTGCAGGAGAAGGATTGCATTAAAAGGGGCATTGTGTTATGTTAAGGAGGCACTGAGTTGTGTTAGGGGTGCTGTGTTAAGGGGAGCTGCGTTGTGTTAAGGAGCACTGTGATGTTTAAAGGAGGGCAGTGATGTGAAGGGGAACTGAGGACACTGTGGGACTTCTTTAAAAGAGGGGACTGTGATATAGGGGGACTACAGTGTGAATACACTATATTGCCAAACGTATTGGGACGCCTGCCTTTTTTGAACTTTAAGGGCATCCCAGTCTTAATCTGTAGGGTTCAAATACTGTTTTGGCCCTCCCTTTGCAGCTGTACTGTATGCACACCCTTGTAAGAATGCCAGGTTTTTGAGATGTAATAAAAAATCGGACCAAGATAAGTCACTTCTTTTTTCCACCTTTTTAATGTGACCTATAATTTATTGATTTTATGACAGCATTTAGTCTTTTACGGTAGGAGTCTATTAGCATGGCACATCTTGCCCTGGGAATCTTTGTCTACTCTTCTGTGCAAAAGTGCTCCAAAACTGTCAGATTGTCTGGGGATCTCCTGTGGACAGTCCTCTTAAGGTCACCCCACAGATTTTTCATTTGGGTCGTTGACATACTGAAAGGTGAAATTCCTCTTCACCATCAGCTTTTTAGCAGGGGCCTGATCGTTTCATGCCAAAACTGATTGGTATTTGGAACTGTTCATAAATCCCTCCACCTTGACTAAAAAACAAGATGCAGCTGAAGAAAAAATGCCCCAAAACATAATGCTGCTACCACCATGCTGCACTGTTAGTATGGTGGTTTTTTATTTTTTTTTTTTAATGTGCAGTGTTGGTTTTGCACCAAAAAGTTCAACCTTGGTCTCATCAGACCATAAGGCTCCATTCACACCAATGCATTTTTTAGTACGTTTTGCAGAAACGCACTAGTCTGCTTAACATGGTTTCCTATGGAATATGTTCGCATGTATGCTTTTTTGAGCTGCTGCATTTTTAGAAAGGGCAAGGACTATTTAAAAGCAGCATTTTTGCTACAAAAGAGTTCAATGGAGATACTGCTGAAATGCCTGATAGTGTGTGTTTTTTTGCCGCATTTTGCATTTTTATTCTACATAGCAGCAAAAAACATCCACTTTAACCAAAAAAAAAAGTTGAACTAAACACAGTAATAACACATGTAGAAAAATGCAAAACAAGCTGCTAAAAGCACTGCAAAATGGACAAAAAGCAAACTGCATAGCTGTGAATGGAGCCTTATACATTTTCCCACATGCTTTTGGCAGACTTGATGTAGGTTTTTGCAAAATGTACCAGGCTTGGGTGTTTTTTGCTTAGTAAGAAAAGGCTTCCTTCTTGCACTCTACTCCACAGCCCAGACATATGAAAAATACAGAAGATTGTTGTCACATGTAGTACAACCAGTACTTGCCAGAAATTCCTGAAGCTCCTTTTAATGTAGCTGTAGGCCTCCTGGACTAGTTTTTTTTTTTTTTTTTTGTAACCATTAATTTTAGAGGAACTTCTGCACGTATCCCCATGGTATATCTAATGCCTTGGAAATGTTTGTACCTTCTCCTCACTGATACCTTCTAACAATGAGATCTCTTCAATGCTTTCTAAGCTCCTTGTGGACCATGGCATTTGCTGTAAGAGGCAACTGAGTAAATGTCACAAAATTCCTACTAAAACAGCTGAACTTTATATGGGTCTAATCGGAGTCACTTTCATTGGTGGTAACAAACTCCACCACATACAAAGCCAAAAATAACGAAACACAAATGAGTGTAATTTTGGCTGCTGCAGTCTTTAAAATGTGTCTAACTTCTTTATTTGTGAACCTTGAAAATGTGTGTATATAGAACATGTTGCAAAAAAAAATGTGAATCAAGGTTACTAAACAGTTTGCATAGCTAAACAACACCAGAAAATACAACTCGTCCAATTTATCAGTAAGTCCCATTCAAATAATCCTTGCTCAACCACCCCGCCTGCCATATAGTCCAATGACGGGCGCAAGGTGGTTCTCTTGTTCTGGGAGGACGTCTTATGACATCCTCCCATTCTCACCGCGCATGCGCGGCTCAGGGAGCGCGCAGCGATCGACGGTGCGCTGTGTCCCTCAGACACAGTGGATCACCGATCGCGGTAAGAGCTGAAGATGTCGGCTCGGTCATGTGATCAGCTGTGTCTAATCACAGCTGATCACATGTAAACAGGGAAATGCCGGTTATCGGCATTTCTCTCCTCTCGAGCTGTATCGCTGACAGCTCGAGAGGAGAGACGGTAATTGGCTTTCCGCGGAGGGGACATGTACACTGATAATCAGGGCACTGATGATCAGTGTAGCCCCAGCAGTGCCACCTATCAGTGCCTCGTGCCAGTGCCCATCAATGCCACATCAGTGCCTTCCAGTGCACATCAATGCCACATATCAGTGCCCATCTGAGCTGCCTTTCAGTGTCACCCATCAGTGCTGCCTTTTTCAGTGCCCATCAGTGCCACCTATCAGTGTCCATCAGTGCAGCCTATCAGTGCCCACCACTGCAACCTCATTAGCGCATATCAGTGAAGGAGAAAAATCATTTATTTACAAAATGTTATAACAAAAACTAAGAAAAAACATTTTTTTTTCCAAATTTTCAGTGGTTTTTGGTTTGTTTAAGAAAAAATAAAAACCCAGAGGTGATTAAATACCACCAAAAGAAAGCTCTATCTGTCACAAAAAAATGATAAAAATGTCAGATGGGTACAGTGTTGTATGACTGCGCAATTGTCATTCAAAGTGTGACAGCGCTGAAAGCTGGAAATTGGCCTGGGCAGGAAGGGGGTATAAGTGCCCTGTAGGCTAGTGGTTAAAAAACAAAAGATAGCTGAACAGGTGCTGGTGCCATTAGTAAGAGATAAACAGGTGACTCCTTCTAGGTGCTCCAGGTGACTCCACGTGGATTTGCACTCACCACAATGGATGGACCTTCTATTACTAGATAGGTCTCACTGTGTATATCTTCACCAACTTGACCATTCATATGTACCAGGATACAATTTCTTCCAATGGATTACACCGTCTCTAAAAAAAAAAGTATCAGGGAAAAGGTTCATTGCGCAGCCGACTATTAAACTATATAAAACCTTACAATTACACTGTATTTACATGTATATCTAAATTGTATTTACATGTATATCTATAGCTAAAGACCACCCCTAGGTACATACAGCGCTTATGGTTAAGATAGTTGGCCCCGAGACCAGAAGCTGGCTTGTGCTCCAAGGATGGTATGTGACATATCAGCTGGGGAACACTGCCTTAACTAGTTTTGTCTGTAATTGGACATCTTCAGGAAGTGCTTTGTTGTGGGTTTTTTTTTTTTACATCTTTACATGTGGCAAACTGTTTAGTAACCTTGATTTACATTTTTGGCAGTGAGGTCTATATACACATTTACACGTTCATTGATGGCAGGTGTGTACTGGCTACTATTTAACATCCATTTGAATGGGATTGATTATTTCTGAACACAGCTGCATTCCTAATTATAAAAGGGTGTATACAGCTATGCAACCACATTATTTTATTTTTTTCCCACTAAATGAAAATTCCAGTTTGTTTTAATTGAATTGCACAGATTATAGGTCACATTTAGTGCCAGTTCACAATAGAACACTGTGTGGGAGATCTGCGTTCCTTGCATGTTTCCCAAACCGCATTCAAAACGCACTGTGTGCGATGTGCAGCAGGTGACAGTGTAAAGTTAACACCCCAAACGCAGATGAAAAACATAGCGCATTTGCCCGCACCAGATACATTTGCACTAGGTGATCTGGTTGTAATACATGCACTACTTTTGGTGTGATACAATGTGATTTCAGCCCTTTCAAATCATGTTCCTGTGCAATTCCTGGTGTGAACCAGCTCTAAAGGTGGAAAAAATTCTGAAGTGATTAACCAGTTTCATACCGCGCTATAGTCGAAGGAGGCTACAGCATGGTTGTCTGGTTCTGGGATGACGTCCATGGACATCATTCCAGAACACACACCCGGTGCTGCCGGTAATCGCTGTGTCCCATGTACACAGCTGATCATGTGATACGGTAAATGGCCAATCACGGTGGCTTTTTACCACATGGTCAGCTGTGTCCAATGACACAGCAGATCACAGGGTACGTACAGTTGCTGGTTATCGGCTGCACTTTCCTCACGCTGTCACAGTGTGAAAAAAATACTTCCAATAACGGACAATTGTCAGGGAAGTGATCAGCACTGATCATCAGTGCCCAGGAGTACCACCCACCTGTGCCCTGCAGTGCCACCCGTCAGTGCTGCCTCATCAACGCACATCAGTGAAGGAGAAAAATTACCTATTTGCTAAATTTTATAATAGAAACAAAACATTTTTTTTTTCAAATCTTTTGCTCTTTTTTTTTGTTTATAGTGCAAAAAATAAAACACCCAGCGGCGTTTAAATACCACCAAAAGAAAGATTTATTTGTGTGAAAAAAAAATGATAAAAATTTCATATGGGTACAGTGTTGCATGACCGCACAATTATCATTCAAAGTGCAATAGTGCTGAAAGCTGAAAATTGGCCTGGGCAGGAAGGGGGTATATGTGCTCAGTAGGCAAGTGGTTAACCTTGCTCTAATATTTTTTTTTTTATTTACCTCAAAAACATGGCATTTTTACAGGGTTGCGTAGAACTTTTATAAAAAAGGGAAAAAAAACAATTGGGACTTTATAAGTGCCATTAAACATATACAAAATAGTACAATAAAACCTGTCTTTATTACAAAAAGCTTGAAATAGATAATTACATACACATTTAAAAAATAGTGATAATGGACACTTCGACCATAATACACTTGTTAAAAAATAAATTCCAAGTATCATGATAAAGCTTTGTTCCTCATTCGTGTTTTCAACATGTTTCACTCTTTTGCTTCATCAGGAAACCACACAATTTATTATCACAATGCACAAGAAAGGGAACATCATTTAGAAACATGTTTTACATATATTGTCGCCATGCATCTTTTTCCATTATTCTGTTTGTGTCATGGTTAAAGAGGGCGAACCTACTAAATCTATCCATACACCTTCGAAGCCCTAGGACCAACACAAAGGGGGAATCCCCTCAACCAGTAGCACTCCGACCCCCAAACCTGGGGAGCAAAAAGTGGACCACAGGAGACAAGGAAGCAAATGATAACTGCAAAGTTATGCCACAAACAATTATTGATAAGGAGAATATTCATCCAGGACATTACATTCATTTAAGTATGCTAACAGTAATTTACTTACTACAGTTAATAAAAAGAGAAACCATGGATGGGGGAGGCGGGAGAGCCCGACTTTCAGCCCAAGAAGCACCTTGATTGAATGTGCCTAAAAGCATAAATGACAAAAGGTTTGCCCTTAGATCATGTAAGTTGTATTTAAAATATTTAGTCCACCAAAAGGGGGGGGGGGCTATCGACCTAGCAAGGGATGGAGGGCCACTGTTCATACATCCCCCCCAAATGTGTGAACCACGCATATGAATAATTATAAATTATACACCAAAAAGTAGGGAGATAAATGCTTAAAATTTTGAGAAAAATAATTGCCATGAAACCCTCACAAGGGTAGCCAAAAAAGCAGAAAGAGTCCCATTGGAAGATATAAACAAAAAGCCACTTGCCAGATCCATAAATTCACATATTCTTGTAAATGGCTGTATAGGCGGACATCTCTTGGCTCCAACAAAATGCCCACGAGCACTTCCCTTATATACTCCTCCCACCCTGGTGACACAAGATATCACTTCCAGAATGCGGACATGATTGCTCTACTGTGTATGCACGGCCAATTAGGTGCTACCCTGCAATCCAAGGCAGGCCCCCTAGTTAGTTCCCTAGGCATTGCCACTTCCTCTGTGCTAAACAATGGAAAACAGTGCACCAGGAGGGTGGGGAAAAGAATGTTCTTCCAGGCACAGCTACAATAGATACCACCTAGAGAAGGAATTAAATGCAGGTTCCAGAAAACATCACAAAGGATATCAAAAAGACACTATCAATCCAAATGGGACAACACCACCACAAGGGCACTGTGGGCCTAAGGGGAATGTTCACCAAATGGTAGGGGGGCAGCAGTGCCTTCCCTATAAAAAATACTCCCACTAACTCTTTTAATTTGGCTGGCAATAGGCAGAGCCAAAAAGAGACACATAGTGCCACCACACCAAAGAGGTATCCATCTCCAGAAGATCCCACCAGTGCCCCTTTGCATCTTATGGGCCACAAAGAAAATTCCCCAACTGGGTCACCAGGGCCACTCCCAGGGAAACCCCCAAAAAAGAAAGGTCCCCACAAGTGTCCAGAGGCCACCAAAAACAGGCAGGTAACAACAATACAATTCCCCTAAAACCGTGGAACACATCAGTAAACAAGGCCAAAAAGTACGGCTTACCAGAAGCAAGTTAATGAATCATCAAATACTATTACATTTATGTACATATGCATTCATTTAAAGCTGCAAAGCAAATACATATTGTACCCAAGAAGAACAACAAAAATAGAAACACCAGATCAATAGACAAATCCAAAAGGAAAATTAATGAATGATTGCGGAAAAAGCTGGGCATACTGGTTCATGCATTTGAACAGACTGGAGGAGCTGATTCTTACAGCCCAAGACATTTAATGGGACTTGGGCAAGCTCGATTCATTATAAAACCGTGGATTCATTATAAAACCGTGGAGCTAACAAGCTACCGGTATGTCTCTGACTTAAGCAGTTTTGGAAGCTGGGGACCCCGGTCGGGGTCGACTCAAGGTCCTGAAAATTGGTGTTTCTTCTGGAAGCAGTTACATCTATCTTGCCCAAACACGCTGATGGCAGACTGATACTCTGATGGCAGCTGGGTCTGGAGAGTGGGGTGGTTTATGTATGTTATGCGCTAGTGCCTAGCCGAGTACACAGCCTGCAGCTCCTTTCCATTTTCTTTCATCTCCTTCCTCTTCTTCACTTCCCCCCTCTCCTTACCTCCCACTGTGGTTCCTTCGTCCTTTACATTCCCATATATAGATATATATATCTATATATATATACATACATATACTGCTCAAAAAAATTAAAGGAACACTTTGAAAACCCTTCAGATCTCAATGGGGAAAAATATCATGCTGGATATCTATACTGATGTGGACTGGGTAATGGGTTAGATATGTAAGGTAAATCTGCCCCATTGTTTGCTGGAAATGAAAATTATCAACCTACAGAGGACTGAATTCAAAGATACCCCAAAAATCAAAGTGAAAAAATGATGCAGCAGGCTAGTCCATTTTGCTGATATTTCATTGCAGCAACTCAAAATGGTACTCAGTAGTTTGTATGGCCCCCACATGCTTGTATGTATGCCTGACAACACCGGGACATGCTCCTAATGAGACGACTGATGGTGTCCTGGGGTATTTCCTCCCAGATCTGGACCAGGGCATCACTGAGCTCCTGGACAGTCTGAGGTGCAATCTGGTGGCGTTGGATGAACCGCAACATGATATCCCAGAGGTGTGCTATTGGAGTTAGGTC